CATCGAATCTGAAATCTTCTCAAACACGTTCACATCCACACATTGGTGGATGTAGAACAACGCCTTATGATCTTTCTTCCTCTTGTCTCTCTGTGTGTATCTTTGTTCTTCCGTTGCATTTTCTATAACTGGAACATAACCTTTGGTAACAAGCTCAAGAACATCTTGAGCATCAAATAACACACACATTTGAATCATCTAACGATTCTAGTTCTTACCATCGAACACTTGAAGCTTGGCACTCAAATTTTCGTTTCTGTTCATCTTCGATCTTGTACATAACACTCAGATCTCACAAACACACTGTTTACCAATCCCACAGAATCAGAAAAATGTGATTTTGTTCAGATTTTGTTCAAGATTCAACACGAACCCAGAACCAAAATCAATCACATAAACGCCTCACATTTCACTCGTGTTTCCCTGTGGATCAGAACCAGAGCTCTAGATACTAATTTTTGGTGCACAAGGTTAATAAATGAAGGAAAGGTAAGAGAGAATATATTTACTGCAATGACGGCTATAAAGCTTACAAAGGAATAATATAAATGATTGTTATTACTAGTCTATTTATACACAAAGTAAATTGCCACGTAGGCCCTACCTAATAAAAACTAAACTTAATGACTAAGTTAAAAGGTACAAACTAGGAAATACAAAACTTAACAGCTAAGTTAACAAACTCAGAACCCAGAACCCCAGAAGCTAAACATACTTCTGGGCGTAACCTCAGAAGCTTCTGCTTCTGATTAATAACAACTTCTGATTACATCAAACGTCTACTTCTAACTAAGCAGTCTCAGAACCTTACAGCTTCTGGCTAACAACCTCAGAAGCTCAACTGCTTCTAAATAACAACATCAGAAGCTTCTAAATATGAATTACTTCCAATACTTTAGACACTAGGAAAATTGTCTAGGAAGTGATTGTTGTTTGCTTTCTTATGCTTATATGTATGACAATTATTCTATTTAAATATTAAGTCAGGTAGCTATTTTACCGTTTCAATTTTACAAGAAAAATATATGAAAAATAGAAAGAAAAAAATAAACATTCAGTATTATTAGAAATTTGAAATTTCCGAAATTTTTAGCACTATCGAAAATTTCGAAAATTCTGATACATTGTTAGTACTCCCATGAAATTTGAAATTTCTAGTTCCGAAAATTTGAAATTTCCGACATCTCCTCAGCGCGGAAAAAAACAATAAATTCATTGAAATTTCGGGTATTAATTTTAAATTTTTAGTATAGCCCTGAAAATTTTAAATTCTCCGATATATTATGGAAGTATTAACGTAAAAGTGCTGGAAATGGAGGGTGTCAAGTTTAACTGTGGGATGTCAAGTTAAATTCTCTTATATACTAGTGTTGAATTACATCATGGATGTGAGTTAAGAAATTAGAACAAATCGATAACACTTGGGCCTTAATTAGTTTTTTGATTTATATTGGGCCTTATATTGTATTCTTTTTTTTAAGTTTGTTTACTATATTTATTTGAGAATTTTATTTTATAAATTATGATAAAAATTAATTTTATTAGAATGTTTAATAATATATTTATTTAATTTTTTTATTTAAATTTAAATGTGGTCAATTCATAGTTTAACTGGTTGAACTGATCCACATGTTTTGTCGGTTTATTCTTCAATTCGATTGTTAAAATACTGATTTAGAGAAACTTTATTAAGATGTTTAATAATATGTTTATTTAATTTTTTTAGTTTAAATTTAATATGTAGTTCAACAACGGTTTAACCAATTGAACTGATTGAATCTTAATCTGCACATTTTGTCGGTTTATTTTCCGATTCAATTTTTAAAATATTGATTTAGAGAAATTTTATTAAAATGTTTAATAATATATTTATTTGATTCTTTTAGTTTAAATTTAATATGTGGTTCAACAATAATTTAATTGATTGAATTGAATGAATCTTAATCCACACATTTTATCGGGTCATTCTCCGATTGGATTTTTAAATTGATTTAGAAAAATTTTATTAAGATATTTTATAATACATTTATTGGTTTAACAATCATTTAACCGATTGAATTGATTGAATCGTACTCCGTACATTTTATCAGCTGATTTTCCTATTTGATTTTTAAAATATTGGTTAGAGAACAAAAAGAATAAACAAATCACATGTATTATTAAAATAATTAAATCAAATATATTGTCCTAATACTAAAGCTGCTTTCTGCTTTGTGTCTTCTACCAATGCTTAATGACTATCAAGAGTATTTATGTATTCTGACTAGTGAGATTTCTTTATACAAGAACTATGAACTATGATTCTCCAAAATTAATGGAACTGTGACACTTCCTACTGCCACTATTCCAGCTAGTAGAAAAAGTTTTGCAAGCAGTTTTAGATATGTTTTTCCGCAAAGTATGCTGAAATTAGATTGCCAGGTTGTGTTGTATTGCCTATAAAATTTTCTTCAATTCTCCATAATAGTAACTGTTGTACTAATACATTACTCACTGAGACCTACCTAGCTTGTTCTATCATTAATCTTGTGCTCTAACTTATCTCTTTCTTTAGTTTTGATTTTATTTAAGTCTTTTAGTACTATCTCTTTTGCTTTTTTACAGTTTTGAGTTAATTCTCCTCGGATTATGAATTAAGTATAAGTTGTTTGTAGCGGAATAGCCTGTCTATATGCTAGTATTCATCATCTTTAGTGTGTGACTGTGTCAGCGGAGAATTGAATACTGTTTAAATGCTCTTTTCTGAAGTTTTTGACTCTTCATTATTTATAACTTAGGATGATTACCAATTTTGAATTATTCTCAACAAGAATTATTCATATTTGTAAACATTAGTGAATTTCTTAACACATTTTATTATGCTTTTCTAGTGTACCTTACACAAATATTTACTAGATTTTGGAGATATATATCTGGAATACATCTGAATGTAATAAAATATAAGTTTTTCCGAAATTATATTTCTGGTATCAAATCGACAATATATTTTTTGAATAAAGTTTTACAGAATCTAGAAAAATAGAATTGAAATACACAAATTTTTATGAAAAATCAAATTAATATGATTAATGGTAGTTGAAATAAATAAACTTTATTTTAAATTTCACTTCTTTTAACTTCTTTACGATGAACTACAAGAATGAAGATTTGAAGTAAAAAAATTGATTGGGAATGAAAAGATTTTTGAAAAAGACAGTAATATATGACATGCAAAGGTGGTAGAATTTCTAACTTCAGACACTAGTTAATCGAAGATACATTTTCGGTCCCCCATTAAATGCATCTCTAAGAATAAATTAGATTTAACAACAAAAAAAGTATGTCCCGAAGATACACTTTCAAGAACGCATGAACACAATTAGATTTTCATAAAAAAAAGTTTCAATGACATAGAGTGTGGTAAGAAATTCCCTAAACATTATAGCACTATTGGGCCGTAGTACGATTAAGTTGAAAATAGTTCTATCGGATCGTTCATAATACGATTTAGTTGAAAAATCAAATTACACTGAACCAAATCATAGTAAAAGATCCTTCAAAACAAACCGAACTATAATAAAGAGTCCTTCAAAACAAACCAAATGATAATTAAAAGTTATTTAGTTGAAAAATCAAATTACACTGAACTAAATCACAGTAAAAGATCCTTCAAAACAAACCGAACTATAATAAAGAGTCCTTCAAAACAAACTAAATGATAATTAAAAATTATTCAAATCAAAATATTTCAATTTACTTAAAATAAAATTGATTAAAATTATTAATTTGATATTGCAGTTTAAAATTTCAAAACATATAATAGTTATAATAGTTAAAAGACAGTTTTTCCAAATTAGGCAATTTATTGTCTTTTTTTCAAATCGGACAATTTATTAAAGAATCGAATTCTATACTTTTAAAAAAAATCAACAATTTTTTTTTAAAAATTATGAACATTTTTCATTTTAAATTTATGTTCGATTTCAATTATGATTTAATTTATTTATCATTTAGTTATTTTTAAAAATGATTGCACAACATGGTCCCATTTATTAATCGATTATTAAAAGAGTTTTTCATAGTATATGTTAAGTATGACACATAGACGAAGAAGAAGGGATAAACAGTTATAAATGCTATATGTTTAGTTTCTAAATATATACTAATATCATTCAAGTAATAATATAAAACTATAGATGATCTCTTAATCACAGAAGAATATATCCATGACTAAACTTTATAAATAAATATCATTTTAACCATATACCTTCTATAGTACTTTTTTTTAGTATGCAGCATCACAAGTCTAAGATAGAGTGGTAGTAGTATTAGCTAACAGCCAAAAAGTCAAACAATCATATTTCAAAATCACCCCCCACAACAAAGTTTTCACAACAACATCAACAAAAATAAAGAGAAAGTGACCAATGACAACATGTGTGAGCAATGTATGTGCCATGTTACTTTTGAAAATGTGTCTGATCTCAATCCAGATTTTTGGACCCAATTGCATGGCCCACCTTATACCAAAATGAAAAAAACTCCACCAAAGCCCACATACATTACCAACAACACAAACACATCATAATAATATCATAAAACTTTCATCCATTCTAACATCACTCCAAAAATCTCAAATTTGATTCCTAAAAAATTTCCCAAATTTTGCAACAACTATCTGTTACAATACCATTTCATTTACCAACTCAATATACTATAAAGTCAATTTTTTTTACCATTGAGAAGATAAATTATATAAATCATCTAAAACATATAGATATTAAAACATGAAAAATAAATAAATCAAAATTTAAAATTTAAAAAAATCTAAGAGAATGAGAAATATTTTTCTTGAGTCTTGATCCCAATGAACAAAAAGTACAACATTAATTAATAAAGAAAAACCCAATAAAAAATCTAAATAAACTAATGGGCCTATGAAAAAAAACCAAAAATTAAGAACCTTAATTCTCTAACCTAATGGATGCATGAAGAAGTTATTGAAGAATGATAAGAAATAATTAACCACCAAGTTTAGTGTTGTCTTTCTCCATCTTTTGAAAGAAACCAGTAAGAGCTTTCAAAGCTTTGACTTGATACTGTAAAGCAAGAATATATCCAGCAGTTTCATCAAAAAGCTTGTCCACACCATAAGACTCACCGTTAGGTACAATCCTCTGCAATGCATTAATCTTTCTCTCTATCTCTTCTCTATCATCACTTTCTTCATCTTCATCTTCATCCTTTTCTTTCTCCTCAACAGCAACTTCCTTTATCAACATGAGTTTCTCCTCGGTGCACCGTCTTCGACTTCTCCGTAAAACATGCAGAGACTTTTGAACTCCCTGAGAGGTGGTAGTAGAGCTCATGTTTTGAGTGAGAAATGATGGTATGGTTGTATCCATGGTTTCTTCTTCCATGGATTAAGTAAGTATAAATAAATTAATGTAATAAGAGTTTTATATGTGTGAGAGAAAAAGAGAGATTGTGTAGTAGTAATAAAAATTATGAATGAATGAGAGATGTTAAAGGAGGGGGAAGAGGAAGATGTTAAATTATTGTTGAGGTCTAGAAATGTCAATGCCAACGAAGCTGGACCCACTGATTTTGGACACATAACAATACAAAGAAGAAACACCCAAGTTTTTTTTGGATTAATTGGAGTTATGTGTAGTGTGTGATAGTATCATAAATTTATGGGCTATTATGTACTTTCACATGCTCCACAACAAAGAGGAGGGGTATTCACTTTTTATTTTCACCTTTGGTTTTTAAGTTTTTTATTTGTGATAATTAAAATGTAATTCAAGCACATGGTTAGAAAATTAGTAGTAGCTAGCTAGGTCTTTGTTTTGTTGACAACAGCTATTTTAGATGCTGTCAAAAAGAGGTTACTTTATATTAAGTGTATGGTGGATTGTCTTTTTACATTGTATATTACCAATTGAATTTGAAGGGATTGAATTACATAAAATTTAAGTTTTGGTATAGAAGAATATGTTTGGATTGAAATGATGTTAATCTAAAATATCTTTTATTATAATTATTGTTGACTTGAATATTTGAATGTGTATACATAATTATTCATAAATAATTTATAGTTTATTATGTCTCGTGATCGATGATTGATATTTTATAATTTATATTTAATGATTAAAATTGATAATCGATAAATTAATTGAGCTATTTGATAAATTAACTGTTTAACTCTTATAAATATAAAATATATTTAATATGTAATTATTTAATTTTAAATTAAAATAAATTATAAAAAATAAAAGTGATTTTTAATTAAAATAATAAAAGTAAAAGTATAATAAAATATTATTTAAAATATTATAAATTAATTAAATAAACTATAAACTCATAATAATAATATTATTATATATCAACCAGATAGATCTTTTCAAAATCAAAATCTATCTAAAAAAACATTTGATCACTCATTATTGAATCACTTAAATTATACTTAAAATATTTAATAAGTGTCTATTAAAAGTCATATATTAAATATTAGATTTTAAGTGTGAGTAACTAAAATTTCACATTCATTAAAAATAAAATAAAAAAAAATTGAATATATTATTATTAAAGTCTTAAAATTTTGGATTCACTTTAAACAGCTGAATCATTATGTCAATAAAAGGTGAAAATATTAAAATAATTATGTAAAACTTTTGAATTGGTGTAGTTTTTATTATCTTCACTCAATATATTGTCAAATTGTTTGATTGAGTTAAATTCGTGATTCAAATGAGATATTTATGATGATTCAAACACATACTAAAGGCATGCATCTTATTAAAACTTCATAAATATGTATTGTCATTAGGTTGTAAGGATCCTTAGCCAGTAAGAATAACAAGATTGAATGAAATAAAAATATAGGTCATAGATTAGGGGTTAGATCAGAAGCAAAAACGCATGTAGAATGGTGGATATGAATAGGTAAAAATAAAAAAGCAAAAGCATATTATACAACCCCGTTAGTACTACTAGTGATTAATTTGTGAGCTGTGGAGTTGAGATATGAAGGCATAAAAATGGTCCCACAAACCACAAAACAAAAGGGAGAAAGCACATGTGCTCACATGAATTCCTTGAACCTAACACCCACCCATGTGCTCCTCCACTCTCTTCTTCTCTTTCATTTTTTTTTTCATTTAAATTTTATATAAATACATGTTAATTTAATTATATTATATTTATATGATGATAATTAGACTCCACTTAAATTAGATGGTAAACGTTTCTTTATTCTATTCAAAAACACTTCGGTGAAGTTAAAAGTAAGAAATTGGTTCATAAATTGAAATGTTGGGATTCAATGTCTGAAGTTAATGCGATGATTTTTTACTAAATAATTTTTTATGTTGAAGGCTTCTTTATAATAAATTTCTCCTTTTCATCTCGGTGTGCTCTTTGCAAAAGGCAGAAGAGACGGCTTATTATTTATTTATTTTAATTGCAATGCAATTGTAATATCGGTTGCAAAATATTTTTATTGGTCAGATATTTAGAATATCTGCATGATTTCGAGTTCGGGTCAATATAAGATTATTAAAGTGGTTGATGTCATCTTTACTTTTAATGTCATTTGGTTGGTTAGAAATAAGGTGATTTTTCAGAATCTTTTTATTAATATTTCTTCTTCCATCTCCAATATTTTGACTTCAGTTCTGTTGGTTGGTAATCCCTCTTCGACTGCTTCTTTTGTGATTCTTAAGAGATTCAAAGTGATTATTCGGCCTCCGAAAGCCCCAAATATCATTGAGGTATTTTGAAAACCTCCTCTTAGAAATTAGATTAAATTTAATTGTGATAGAGCTTCCATCTCTACTATTGGGATTTCTGCCTATGGTGGCATTGCGAGAGATTGTGATGGAGGTTTTAGGGATGCTTTTGCTTCTTTTTTGAGCGTTTCTAAATCTTGTTAGAATTAATTTAGATTTTATAATTAATTAGATATTAATTTATATTTAAGAGTATATTTTAGATTGTTTATATCTTTGTTAGAAGATATATATCTTAGATCTTCTTATATCTTTGTTAGAAGATATATTTTAGATTTAATTTTATGTATAAATAGCCTAGTGGAGTAGGTTATTGTAATTCATGGTAAATCCTTATTTTTGAAGCTATCAATATATATTCCTTTTGTCTTTTATCTTCCTTGTGCTCCAACAACTGGTATCTAGAGCTCCGGTTCGAAATCCACGGGAAAAGAAGTATTGTGATTAAGAATTATAATATTCTGATTCTGGGAGTTTTGAGAAAACATTGATTTAGGAAATTCTGCGTAAATTGCATAAGGTAGAAGATGAACGGAAACAGTGGCGATATTCATTCCAAGCTTTCAGTATTTGATGGCAAAAACTGGAATCGTTGGAAGATCCAGATGCGTGTCTTATTTAGCTCTCAAGATGTGTTAGAACTTGTTACTGATGGCTATAATCTGTTAGAAGCAGATGCAACAGAGGACTAGAAGATAGCACAGAAGGCGCTGAGGAAGAAAGATCAGAAAGCGTTGTTCTACATCCATTAATGTGTGGATCTGAATGTGTTTGAGAAGATTGCTGATTCTGAAACATCAAAGGTTGCGTGGGATACACTGGTCAGATGTTACGGTGGTGACGCATCAGTGAAGAAGGTGAAACTTCAGTCTCTCAGAAAGCAATATGAGAATCTCAACATGAAGGACAACGAGAAGGTTTCTGAATACATCTCTAGACTGATTCTGATCACTGATGAGATGAAAGCTTGTGGAGAAACTCTGTCTGAACAAGTAATTATTAAGAAGATCTTGAGATCTTTAACTTCTCGGTTTGATTACATTGTTGTAGCAATTGAACATTCCAAAGATCTGAGCACCATGAGATTTGAAGAGCTGCAAAGTAGTCTAGAGGCGCATGAGTTGCGTATGACTGCAAGAACTTCTGAGAGGGAAGTAGAGCAGCAGGCTCTGAAGGTAACTTCTGGTAAGAAGCATCAGAAGCTGACTTGGTCAGAAGCCAGGAAGAAAACTAATGGTGGTCAAAAGTCAGAAGCTTCAAATTCTGATAGGCAGAAGAATGTCCAAAAGGGAAAGGAGAAGTCTGACAAGAATTAGTGTTACTGTTGCAAGAACTTTGGTCACTATGCCAGGGATGGTTGGTCAAACAAAGAAAGGAAGTCAGAAGAAGCAAATGTAGCCAGAGGATATTTAAATGATGAACCTGTATTATTTATGGCTTATGAGTCTGATGAGGAACCAGTGAAATTGTCATTTTCTAATTCTGAAGGGGAAGAAGAATATGACTCTGAATATTCTGATTCTGAATGAGTGATTTTGTATGAGTCAGAATCAGAATATGACTCTGAGTTAGAATCAGATGACGACTTTGAAGATTTTGAAGATGAGTCAGAATCTGAGGTTTTTGAATACGAGTCAGAATCAGAAGATGACGCTGAAGATTTTGAAGATGAGTTAGAATCTGAGGTTTCTGAAGATGAGTTAGAGTCAGAAGATGACTCTGAAGACAAGTCAGAATCCGAAGGTGATTCTGAGTCTGAAGAAGATTCTGCTTCTAAAGAAGAGTCAGAAGATGATGACTCTGGAAACTCTGAAGGTGAGTCAAATGGTGAATCTGATTCTGATCCAGATTTTGATGATGATCTAGAATTTAGTGGTGATCATGCTTCTGGAAGAGAAAACTCTCAAGACGTAGGTTCTGGAGGACAAAATTCTAAAGATGATCAAGTTTCTGGTGGAAATCGGGACTCTAAGGATGGACCTTCTGAAGGAGGAGCTTCTCAAGGAAATTCAGTCTTTGACAGTGATCATGATTCTGAAAGTGGAACTTCTGAAGGCAGGGCTTCTGAAAGTGATCCATATTTTGAAGATGGAATTTTTGAAGGTAGTGGCTCTGACTCTGATGATTCAGACCCTAGGAATTTTCAAGACAGTCAAGGTTCTGGAGAAAGTTAAAACTCTGAAGCAAGATCTTCTGAAGGGCGAAGTTCTGGTGTCCAAGGTTCTGAAGGTCCAGTTCAGAGGCAACAAAGAGTCAGAAGCATCCCAAGAAGATTTGCATAGTTTGACATGTTGCAAGACACTGAAGTAGACTCTGAAGGAGAAGTTATTCAGTATGCAATGTTAGTAGACTCTGAACCCGTGAGTACGGAAGAGGCTCTTAAGCAGCAAGTTTGGTTACAGGCCATGAAAGAAGAACTTGATGCTATAGAGAGAAACAAGACTTGGAAGTTGACAGAACTTCTAAAAGTCAAGAAAGCCATCAGTGTCAGATGGGTTTTCAAGCAGAAGCTAAAGATAGATGGATCAATTGGCAAACACAAAGCGAGATTAGTAGAAAGAGGATTTCTACAGAAGCCTGTGTTGGATTACTTTGAAGTGTTTGCACCTGTAGTGAGACATGAAATA